GTAGGCTCCGGGAGCCCAGGCGATCAGAGTTTGAGTGGGCAAAATCTGAGAACCCCACCTTACCCCCCGGGCTCGGTGCCCACTTTCGGTGGGCTCTGGGAACTAGCTGAAAGGTTTTGGTTACAAGGAGAAATGTAGCAACCCTGTGTAGGGATGTCTGGAGGATGGAGGAACGAGGTCGTCTTTTTGGAAAAACTACTGGTACATCTTTGCACCTTACTCCGTCTTTAGCCCATAAGCTACACGACCCCAAAAACCCTAAAATAGAAATTTTAGTGGCGCTGCTTGCTACTGGAATTCCAGAAAAGGGTGGTAGCCGACCGAACCGCTAAATTTCCAGGTTGCACCGGAGTCGCCTACAGCAGCTTATGCTAATTGATTTTTCTAGCCACCCGCCCGGGGTCTCCAAGCGCCCGCAGGCAAGTTTGCCTTTTTCTTTTCTATTCTTTTTTTCTTTAATTTTATCAAAGGAGTCGAGGCTCGTAGTCCGCCAGTTTTCTCCATAGTTTCGCAGGCAGCTACACATTTGCTCGGTCTTTCTTTGACCAGCCCGCTACGCTTAACTTCTTGAGTCCCGGGAGCCGGTTCAGTAACTCTGAATTCATTTTTAAGTGGCATCCCTTGTTCCTTTCCTTTTAACAGGAGGTGCAGCTTAACACGCGAACCTGTAACGCGATCCATGCGTTTACATATCGTCAGTGAATTAAAACAACATCTAGGAAAATGAAAGATGCACTGGGGTGCAGAAAGGGAAGTCAGGGAAAGGGAAGCACACCCCCCCTCCCCACCGCTGGTGGTGCACCCGGGCTGCGCGCCCAGCTCGTAATGTCCTCAAAGCCAGCAGGTAGACATGGCAGTTTTATTACTCTTTACCCTGCAGCTTGCTGTTAACACGGTGAAGGCGTTTCTCCGGTTCGCCTTTCTGTGTCTGTCCTGAACGCGCGCAGGTGCAGTGCTTTGCCGGTTGACTCCCAGCAACTTTGATAGTTTCTGGAGCGGGATGAAGGTGGTGGGGCCGGGAAATGTTCTCTCACCCCTTAAGCTCCAGATCCTAGGCACTCAACGTCTGTTTGCAAAAGGATTTCCCCCTGGTTTGTTTCAAGTGTGAGGAAGCCAGGCAGCCTGGAATTGTCTCTTCTCGTGTCCTGTTTGGGCACTTATCCCTTCCTTCGTTGGTAGAGGATAATAAAATCCCTTCATTGTGTTTCTGGGGTGCAAGTGTGCATCTATCTAGAGGGTTAGTTGTGTATGGTGAGGTTTGCTGGGTGCCCCAGGCTCGGCTGGGCGAGGGCAGCGAGCAAGGGATCTCACCAAACTGGGCAGCGGTCTCGGTGTGCTCATTCGGGGTAGAATAGTAGGACTTTCCACCAGTTCAGGGAATAGAGGACTAAAAAGTCCTGTGGCCCAAGGGTGGGCGGCTTGTGCCTGCCACGGTGTGGCCTCTCCCACCGACGTTCCTCACACACGACTTTCTGGAGCCCTAGTCGCGTTGCTCCAACTGAAGTTGGGCAGTTCCTTTCCTAGTCCTCACCTGGTGTCTGGGGCAGCTTAGATAAACTGCGAAGCGGGCACTAGAAGTTAGCCCTACTTTACAGTAGTGCAACCTGCTGCCAGCCCTTTGACTAGAGGCAAAACTTGGGGCTTTTCAGAGCTTTGCAAAAAAAGTCGCACTCCTCAGGGGCTCTCGGCCCCGGCGCCTCCCGCGCGGTGCAGGCTTTTCCCTCTTTGTTTAGCCCTCTGGGGAACCTCGCCAACTCTTGCCAGTGGGAGGGGAAGAAGGGCGAGTAGGGCCACGAACCCTTTATCATTCAAAATACAAGTAAACTTAGAAATCTGGAGGACTAAGGGGGTTTTTAGAGCCTGTTACTTTAAGATAAGAATCATATTCATTAAAGTTTTAAAAAGGGGGAATTGGAGGCCTAGACTGCAGTTCACTTTTTAAGGTGTTGAGGTGTTGAGATTTTATATCGCTGCTTATATCGCTGATGTCCACATTAAGTAGAAAGAAAAACTAGCACGCTGCCCTCGGAACACCTCCCGCTTTTATCTCGCGGGGGTAGATTGTAGGAGTGGGCTCATTGGGTCTGAGAATGGCCCCAGTTTAGTTCTGAATGATGTTTGCATACAAGTGCGGGACTGAGAATGCCTGGATCTCCCAGAAAGGTTTGCAGGCTCGGTGGGGGCTGTGGTAGTACATTCAAACCATCCAGGACTTGGCTGGGTTTGGTTGCTAAGTTGGGCTCAGTTATCACGTTGTTTCTAAAGAAATTAGACCTGGATAAATGGCCTTTGAATTCAAAGAAATAACTCGGTGTTGATTTACATAGCCACATTAAGAACCCCCTTCTCAATAGGAGACATTGGAAAAAAATTCCTGCTAGTTCTTTTCCTCATTCAACATAAAAATTTCTCTCTCTCTCTCTCTCTCTCTCTCTCTCTCTCTCTCTCTCTCTCTCTCTCNCTCTCTCTCTCTCTCTCTCTCTCTCTCTCTCTCTCTCTCTCTCTCTCTCTCTCCTGTGTGTGTGTGTGTGTGTGTGTGTGTGTGTGTGTGTGAATGGTGTGTGTGTAAGGAAAGGATGCCTGATACTCTAGAGCCCAGGAACCTTCTTCCCTCCCCCAAAACACACACCCGTAAAAGCTCCAGGGTAGAAGAGAAAACCACCCCTTCCCATTTGTTGACCCAGCCTAATGATGGCACCTTCAGGAGAAACCCACAGGACCAACCTAGGCAAGAAAATGCTGAGACTTTGTTGTTTTTTTTCTCTAGCAATGAAACTGAAGTGCCTATGTTAGTATCTTCCTCCCCTAGGTTCCCCCATACTGAATTTAAAAGTGGGCTTGTCTATTATATGCCCAGAAGGAAGAGTCAGTAAAGTTTGGGGACATATACCTTTCCTGGGTTCCAAGAATGGGCACCTGGGAAACCACAACCCGGGACTGATCTCCAGGAAGTTTCATCAGGGTTTTCAAAAGTGTCTGACTGAAGAATATCAACTAAGCAGTCTCAACCTAGAGGCTTCTGTTGTAGCCTTTTTAAATCTGAGATTTCTTGGTCTTAACTTGGTCCTCAAACTCAGTGTCACCTCCCAGCTCCTTGGCTCATTTCTTGGTGTGTTTGCACTCAAAACTTTCTTCCTGGAGAGAACTGACCAACAGCAAGGTAGAGAATAGTTTTGTTCCCCACCTCTTGGTTTTGGGTTGTGCATGAAAACCTGTTTGCCTACCTTTCTTCCCTTTCTCTTCCTCCATCCCTTCCTCCTCTTTCAGTCTTTGGCTTGTCTCCTTCAGCAAACATTGGACCCCAGTTCCTAATACATAAGCATGTTTTTCCTCAGCCCAAGGGAGAAGAGGGTGGAAGAACTCTATAATGCTTACTTAAACAGTTAAGTTGTAAACATGGTAAATGCAGATGTTTGTATTTTCAGTATGTAGTCTGGACCAAGGCTCACCTCTCAGCCCCATATTTGCCCTGCTGGGAAGTGAAGCAGAGCAAATGAAGCTGGGAAGGAGCCTTAGAACCCAGCTTTCATTAACTGCCTTTGAAAAACAGGACCCCTGACCAAGGAAGGGTAAGCGCAGCTCTGGAGTGGCAGGGACTGAGCATCAACAGGAAATGGCAGGCTATTTTTAGGCTTAATAAGGAGTTAATATAGCTGCCCAGTGTCTTCCGAAATGCCTGGAAGCATCTCCTGTTTAATTCTTTCATCTCTTCGTCAGCAGTAACAATAATAAAGTCATAGCAAGTGGCTCTGTATGAAGAGTGAACCAGGCTTGGCACAGCTCTTCAGGGGAACCTGCATGAAAAGCATCCTCTTGTTATAATGGAAGCAAAACTGTAAGTGAAGACCTTTTCCACTAGTGAGAAAGAGAGGCATGTTCTTATCTGGCCACCTTCCAACATCCATATTTTCTTGTATGATCTTCTTATTTATCTGACAACTTATTTCTTATTTTTGGAACATTTCAATAAATGGGAAGACAATTCATTACTCCTTTTTAAATAAAACTTTCTTTCCCTAGAGGATCACAGATTTGCCAGCCTTTGGGAGCTGCAGTTGAATTAAAAAAAAAAAAAAAAACAAGCCTTTGGGTTGCTACTGTACCAGTTCTCTTTTCTTTTGTTCAGAGGCAGATTACCTCTACTCAAGTGGAGGGCGAGGAAGCTTGGCCCATTTCTACCCTGGGGCTGAAATATTTTTCATGTGTTGTTTTCAATAATTTTATGCGCAAAAATGTTGCTTGCCATCCTCACGTCATCAGGTGAGGCTCCTTCCCTGGAAGCCTCAAAGCCCTTGACTCTCCTAAATTCTCTAAGAGATCGCGTCTCTTTGTCAAGACAGCATTTGACTTTGCCGTCAGTGGAAGGCAGAGAATAGATTTATTTATTTATTTATTATTTATTTTATTTTTGGGTTAAGAATAGGGTTGGGCAAAAGAGGATGAGCATGAACCTGCTCCTGTTGTTATGCCTGATTTGCAAGTTTTCTTGTTCGTTAGGTACCGTAGCACTTTAATGTTAGTTTTACAACAAATCAACAAAATTAAAACTAACAAAGGCAGTCCTGTTTGCAGGCCCGCAGAGATGTGTATTTACTCTTGGAATGAGGGGGTGGGGTGGAGGTGGGTGGGCTAGACCTGCCAAAGTAAAGCTCCTTTAGCTACGCAACGACCCTTTTTCGGATTCCGGCTTCCCTCTCATACACTCGGCATGACACTGACCACTTCCATAAGGTCGTAATAGAAAAACTCATCCAAAAATTACAAAGGGCACCTTTCTCGAACAAAACAAGCTATTCTTTAATGACAAGACTGTGAAACCCAAAAGTGTTGGGCCCAGCAATGAAAAAAGCACGGGTAGCAATTCAGGATGCCAGTCGAGCAGTCCCAAGCAGTCAGGCTGGCATCCCGCGCTATCTGTGGGTCTGGGGTAAAGGAAGGGGCGAGGGGCAGGAGCCGAGAAGGCTGAAAGCCCGCGCCCGCAGCTGGCTCCCACGCGCCGG